CCACCTTAGGTGTACGTGGCTGGCGCCTTAGCCGGTTGAGCTATAGGTGCCGAGCCACCAAATTCTTAAATATTCTTTTTTTTGGAGACAGAGTCTTACTCTGTCACCTTAGAGTAATATGGCATCATAGCTCGAATCAATCTCAAATTCTTGGGCTCAAATGATCTTCCTCTCTCAGCCTCTCAAATAGCTGGGATTTCAGGTGCTCACCATGGTAGGTTTTCTATTTTTAGTAGAGACGGGGTCTCACTGTTACATGGACTAGTTTCGAACTCTTGAGCTCAAGCTATCCACCTGTCTTGGTCCCCCAAAGTGCTAAAATTACAGGCGTGACCAAATTCTTAATTATTCTTGAAAATAGGATCTGTGAAATTTAAATTACCACACCAGGCACCAACCTAACTAGACATCATTGTTTTGCTGGAATTTGGCTTGCCATTTGACAGCCAGCCATTCAGGGTAAAGAAATGTCTTCCAGCATTCTTACAACCAGTGGAGTTGTCTGCATTGCTAGAAGTATAGAGAAACAAAGCTGGTAATTCATAGGCTGTGGGACTGGGAGGGATCTCAGAGGCCCTCCAGTACAACTTTGCTGTTCACAAAGTAATTTATTCTGCTGAAGTTTGCAGGAGCCGTAGTGCTCCCACCTCTCTACTAAAAGGAATCATTCTCTCCAACCAGAATGGATTTGGGAACATGTGAGATGGATGGTCACTCTCTGGGCCTTGATATCCCTCTGTCCCTTCCCTCTCCCTAGCTATGGAGCTCAGCTTGGCCACTGAGTAAATGGGAAAGCTAACCTTCTTCTACTCTGCTTCCAACAGGCCCCCAAGTAGTCGTATGACTTAGCACGGCAGAGAAAGTTAGAGGTCACAAACTTAGGTGTCAAGGCCTGGTGGGAAGAGTGGAGTAGCCAAGTATAAGATGACAAGGGCCAGTGGAACTGTGGCGAGCGGGAGATACCTGCTATAACAGTGACACATGGTACTAAGATGCAGCCACTGTCACCATGTGAGGATGTGGACCCAGCATTGCCAAAGCTTCCCATTTTCCAGAAGAGACTGAAATCCAAACTTTAATGAAATTTCCCAGTTTTATTTAAATGTTGTAAGATTTAATTAAAAAATTAAAACATATACTGGGTGACTTAAACAACACACTCTTATTTTTCTCAGTTCTAGAAGTTGGAAGTGCAGGATCAGGGTATCAGCATGATGAGGTTATTAGTGAGAGTCCTCTTTCTGGTTATGTCCTTACATGACATTCCTTGGTGGGAGAGAGTGAATTTTAGTCCCTTTATGTTTTTGTAAGGACACTAATCCCATTATAAGGCTTCACTCTTGTGACCTCAGCTAAACCTAATTACCTCCTAAAAGCCCTATATCCTCATGTTGTCCCTTGGTGGTTGGGTAATAGTCACCATATGAATTTTGGGAAGACGAAAACATGAAATCCATGACAGTATCTGTGGACCAGATGTAGCCCATGTTATGTCCATTTGTTACCTTGGGGGATTAATGTCTTTCTTAATTTCTGAAAGTGCCGCCTTAGTCCCATCTGGCATAATGGCAGATCTATAAATAGGCTGGGCATGGGCCTCATGCCTTCAATCCTAGGACTTTGAGAGGCTGGGGTGGGAGCACTGCTTGAGGCCAGGAGTCTAAGAACACCCTTGGTAACATAGTGAGACCCCCATCTCACTTGATCTTAGCCAAAAGGCCAAGAAGTAATGTGAGACCCTATCTCTGCAAAATATTAAAAAGTTAGTCATGTATGGTGGCATGTGCCTACTGGGAAGGCTAAGGTAGGAGGATCACTAAGGCCCAAGAGTTCAAGGCTGCAGTGAGCTATGATCACGCCATTGGGTTCCAGCCTGGGCAACAGAACAAGACCCTGTCTTTAAAAATAAAAATATAATGGGGCAGCACCTGTGGCTCAGTGAGTAGGGTGCTGGCCCCATATACCGAGGGTGGTGGGTTCAAACCTGGCCCCTGGCCAAACTGCAACAAAAAAATAGCGTTGTGGCGGGTGCTACTTGGGAGGCTGAAGCAAGAGAATCACCTAAGCCCAGAAGTTAGAGGTTGCTGTGAGCTGTGACATTACAGCACTCTATGGAGGGCTATAAGTGAAACTGTCTCTACAAAAAAAATAAATAAATAAAAATAACAATAAAATAAAATAAAAATATAGTGGCCAGGTGCAGTGCTTCACACCTATAATTCCAGCACTCTGGGAGGCCGAGATGAGTGGCTTGCTTGAGCTCACAAGTTCAATACCAGCCTGACCAAGAGTGAGACCCTGTCTCTAAAAATAGCCAGGCATTGTGGTGGTTCCTTGTAGTCCCAGCTACTTGAGGGGGCTGAGGCAAGAGAATCACTTGAGCTGAAGAGTATGAGGTTGCTGTGAGCCATCATGCCACACACTGTACCCAGGGCAACAAAGTGAGTCTGTCTCAAGAAAAATAAAATAAAGATATAAAAACCTAAAGATAACAATGAAGTGACACCAAGCAAATTTGAGAGATTTACATGAATCTTTGTGTAGAAGTGATTTATATTTGGACCACAATGTATAATGTCTAAACATCCCCTTCCTAGAAAATTATGTCAAGTACTGTTGATGCAAACGGTAATTAAAGGATGGTACTAAACTATTAGTAATTATTATTTAGAAAACAACGTCTAGTATGATTGCCTCAAAAGTTAAAAATAAAACTACCATATTATCCAGCAATCCCACTTCTGGGTATATACTCAGAAAGCCAGCTCTCAAAGACATATCTGTACACCATGTTCATAGCAGCATTATTCACAATAGCCAAATGTCCACTGATGGATACATGGGGTGTACATATACAGCAGACTATTATCCATCCTTAAAAACGAAGAAAATCCTGTTACATTCTACAACACAGATGTACCTTGAGGACATAATGTTAAAAGAGAAATTAATCACAAAAGAAATAAGGGCATCTGTAGTCCCAGCTACTTGGGAGGCTGAGGCAGGAGAATCGCTTGAACCCAGGAGTTGGAGGTTGCTGTGAGTTGTGATGCTACAGTACTCTACTTATGACAACAGCTTGAGGCTCTGTCTCCAAAAAAAAGTTGTGCTTAAGTCACTTAGTAGGGGCTTAGCGCCTGAGGCTCAAGCAGCTAAGGCACCAGCCACATCCACCTGAGCTGATGGGTTCGAATCCAGCCTTGGTCCGCCAAACAACAATGATGGCTGCAACCAAAAAATAGCCGGGCGTTGTGGCCGGCGCCTGTAGTCCCAGCTACTTGGGAGGCAGAGGCAAGAGAATCGTTTGAGGCCAGGAATTGGAAGTTGCTATGAGCTGTGATGCCATGGCACTCTACCCAGGGTGACAGCTTGAGGCTCTGTCTCCAATAAATAAATAAATAAATAATAAATCAGTAGGTTAATGGTAAGTAGACTTTTAGTCCTCACAATTTACCTGTGAGTAAAGAAAAAAAGAACCTGTGTCTTGGAGTCTTTTGGAGCCCATCTCCAGACCAAATTTTCAGAATCACCGCAGCTAAGATTGTCATCTGAGTAGGGTTGTGGCCAGAGAACTTTTGAAGCAGCTGGCCATTCGCGACCAATCATTTGCAGTCCTCAGACCAAAGTCCTTTTTCAGACACTTCTGAACACATGTCTTTCAAGCAGAAAGCATATTCTGGATTCATGGAGTCAGTTTTCAAAGCAAAGAGAAATGCTTGTGGAATGAACCGCCCCAGATGGACTGAACCTGGTCTCCTTTTTCTCTCGGTTTGCTGGGAATTAAGCCGGGCAGAGCACAGTCTTCTAAGGGATTCTTCCCTGCTCTTATCTTTCTCCTCTTCTGCTTATCGGTAAATCAACTTCATTAATTTGCTAACGTGCTGCCCCACCCACGCTCAAGCGGAGGGAACAAGCCAAGACAAACCCTAATAAAGGGATGCCCCCACCCACTCACTGAACCCGCCAAGCCTAAGCAGGGTGAGTGGGATGCAAAGGCTTTTGCACAGGCCCTAGAACAGAGATTTGCATCCTCCCCCACTTAGAATTGGTGTCTCCTTGATCACCAGTTTCCCTTCACTAAAAAGGAATTAATTTCTGCTTTCTCTACTTGAGGAGACAGTGCGAGGAGGGCGTGCGAGGTACACAGAAAAGCCCCCCGCGGCAAATCGCGCCGGTAAAATCAGCGATTGTTGAACTCCAGTTCTCACGCACGCACCGCAGGGGGCATGGGCGGACAGCTGCGACCCACGTGACCTCCCACCCGCGCCTGCCGGTGGCTTCTATAGGGGGCGTGGCTTGGTGGGGCGGCTTTGCCTCTATGGGTCTGGAGGCGGGGCCAGCAGCGCGAGGCAGTGTAGGAGCGGGGGCGTGGCCTGGCGGACTGGAGGTGGCGGCGATTGGCCAGAGGTTGTGTCGGGGCGTAGCCGCAGGCTGCGGGCTGCGGGTGGGGCCACAGGCAGCGGGAGTTCGGGCTGCTTCGCTTGCACCTGAGAGCTGATACCCGGTTCCTCGTAGCTTTGCGCGCCGCAGTCCCCGCCGCCATGAACCGCTTTAAGGTGTCCAAGTTCCGGCACACGGAGGCTCGGCTGCCCCGTCGCGAGGTGAGTCCGGTCTGTAGGCCCCGCACTCTCACCCCTGGTCCTGGCCGGCTGCCCTTCCCTCTGCCCGGGTCCCTCACCCGGACATCCAGAACCAGAGCCCTCCTCCCTTAGGGCGCCCCCTTCAGGTCTCGGCCCTGCTGTGCACGTCGTTGTGTAGCCACCCGGAGGGGAGAGTCCGGCGCTCCTGTGACTCGCTCTGGCCGCCCTGGTAATCCTGGCTGTCTGTCCAGCTCGCCCGCCTCGCCCCAGGACCCCCGAGGCGGCGCAGCCCAACGGGCCAGGGTTGAGGCCTGAGAGGCCGCCTGCCTTCTTGGTTTCCGGTCCGCCACTCTCGGGAGCCAGAGCTCGGGTGCTGCTAGCACCCGGCTCCTCCCGCTGCTCCTGATCGCCCCTGCCCCGGGCTAGGGTGTGAAAGAGATGTCCTTCTCTCCCCTGGCCTCAGCTTGTCCGAGTGTGTCTGCTGAGGGAGGTAGCCCCTCCACCAGACACGCGCACCTCCCTTGGGTTTCCGCCGGCGCTTCCTCTTCTGCTGAGCCAAGCTCTTCCCTTACTCTGGGTGATGCTGCCTGGGGAAGCTTGAGCAGGTGAAACCCAGAGCAAGAGGCGAGCCAATTGCTGGGAGCACCTCGGACTTCCGAAAGGGCAGCAGGACTGATTCGGATTATGCTTTAGGAATGATGCCAGCCCTTATCTGCTGCTTCCTGTGTTATTTAGAACGCATGGGAGTATCCTCGGATAACTGGGCCTAGGAATTGACCTCTAGTGACCCCATTAGAGGTCCAAAGCACGTCAGGGCAACCTGGAACAGAGGCTCCATTTGCGTTCCCTGGGCGGTGTTTCTTCTGCACCTACTATGTGCAGCTGAGGCCACAACAGCGATCATAACACCTTTTTCTTTCCCCTGTAGCTTTCTAGCCTCGTGAGAGAGACCGCTAGCAAACAAGGGCATTGCAAGTTTTAATGAGTACATTCAAGAACGCACATGAGGGGTAGAATGGAGAATGGTGAGGTGGGGCATAATCTGGATAGGGTGGTCAGGAAAGGCTGGCTGGAGGAGGTAGCATTCAGCTGAAGCCAGAAGGATGAGAACTGAGAAGGAACTTAGTGGAGGAATGGATGTGGATAGAGGGCAGTGACCAGGGAAGCATGGTGACAATGAGTCCAGAGCAGTCCTTACAGAGCCCAAGGGCCACAGAAAGAAGTTGGGTTTTATTCTGAGTGCAGATGAGGAGCCATTGAAAGATTGGGAGGGCTCGGCGCCTATAGCTCAACCGGCTAAGGCGCCAGCCACATACACC